TCTTTTTTTTAATTTGAACAATATATTGACTTAATTTTAAAATTAGAATAAATTGATGCAGCAAAATGAATTTTCTGAAAGAGTAATCCATTGATCACAGGAATACTCATTGGAAAATTACTGAAGTTTCTAGAAAACCTGTATTTCTATGACTTTTGGAGTAAAATCAAGTATTTTTGATCAAATAATTTAAAATGAAATATTTGATAAACCGCCAACCCTTTTAAACTGCCAAAATTGCTCTGGACAAATGGTGGCGTCTTATCGGGGTTTGACTGTACTTGTTCTTTCATCAAAGGAGCATCAGAAGAGCAAAGGCTCTTTGATCAATAGAGCAAATGCATTTGATCAACAGCGCAAAAGTCTCATGGGCCAGATTACTTATCAAGTACCAAAAAATGAGTCAATAGCTGAAAACAGCAAGCATTACAAAAATACCGTATTTAATTGGGCACTTGATCTTTTGATGCAAGAGCAGTTCCACATATGAGCATACATATAGAGTGCTCGCTCTTCTGATGAGCACTCATAAAAATCCTTCAAAAAATTGATAATAGCAATAATCTCACCATACACATATCCAACGAAGGCATGTTTGATGTCGTCGTAGGACACTTTTGCGTCAGACAAAGCATCTGTCACGGACTCACGGACCAAATCGACATAGGAGGCATCATGTTTCCCCGGTTTCTCAAACTACGAGACAAAAATTTATTTTTCTTTTTTCCAAAAATGTGAGACTAATTTCCATTACCTTCGTCATTCCGACGCCAATGACATAAACTTTTCGACCCATTTTAGAAGTTGATGCGTGGTCTCAATGGACAAAAATCCTGAGAAAACAGTTCAAAACAAAGAATACGCGATCAACGTTCACAATCCACGCACGAACGACGCAGACAAAACAAGTGAGTGGCTTTCACTCGAGAAACATCAAGTATGCAATACGATTCCTTGGCGATAAAAACACAGGAGTGACTCTCCATTATTACATTACAAGCAAACGAAAGCAAACAACACGAGGATTTCGATAAAGCCCAGGTCCTCAAGTTTCAGGTTCAGAGTCCAATCCAGTGACTTCTTCTTCGTCTCCGGACATGGCACGCCAAAAGGCGACGGCGATTTCTTCCGCGTACTTCTTTCGTTCGTCCGACGATAAGGAATCACACTTGGCTTTCATCGCGGCGAAATTTTGGAAAAGATCTTCGAAACTTTCGCCACCTTCTTCCTCGTCTTCTGCGAAATAATAAAAAAATTATAATTACACAACAATGCCCGAAATCTGAAGTCTTTTAAAAACGTGGAGGGGAAAAATTCACACTTGATTCATGAACGATTCGATCAATTTTAATTTTCATTGAACGGCAGAAATCTGTTTTCACAGGCTTCCTGAAAGATAATTGTGGTGGTTTCCTGAAATACAATAATCTCAATTGAATTTCTCAATACTGTACAGTACATTAGAAGGTAGTTTTCTTTTTTACTTAGAAAATTATGAAATTTGCGTCATCTCATTGTAGGAAAAAATCCAAACCTAACCTGCCATGACGTAAAGCCTAACAAAACGTAATGCATAGCCTGACCTAATTTAAATTTATGTAACTCAATACCATTCAGGCGACATCTAGGTGATACGAAGTAAAGCCATAAACTCGGGACACGCGGAGATTTAAAAAAAAAACTGCCTTTACATTTGCTATTTTACAGAATCTTGCGTCCTCACCACCCCCTAAATTAACAGATGAAATCATGAAACTCTCTTCTCATAAGAATTCTAGGAAAGGAGGCGTTATTTCCAATCCTTGGATCAAACTATGACCAAATGGCTATCACAATCAATGGAAGCGAAAACAAGCGAAAATGAAAAAAACAAAAATTTAAGATTTGAAATGCTTTACAATCACGAATAGACGACAACTATTGCTTCTTGATGATACAGGACTCATACACTTAAATTGGAATTTCCATGTGGATATTTTCGGACAGAAAAAAAAAATATTGCTTCACCTTTCGGAGGAGATGAAACAGACTCCTTCAGCCGGTTTGAAGCCGATGTCCGAGCATCTTCACCAGTAAAAAAATTAAATAAAATTAAATAATCGTTCGAAAAAAATCATCAATTGATTTAGAAATACAGTCTCCATTTGATAATAACCTGGCTCCTCCTTCAAAACTAGGTTTGACCAAGTGTGGGCATTCAAAGCGGCCAGGATTCTACCAGGTCCACGCGCATTGCCAAAAGGAACATTTTCATCATCATCATCGTCGCTTCCTGCATTGGGTTCCAATTCGACCAGTTCAAAACCATGCTCTATGCACCATTCTTGCGCTGGAACATGGAAAATTAAGATACAGTAATGACCGACAGAAATAAACGCAGGCGGTCTAAAGTCTCAAGGGTAAAGCTGTTTCATGAGTTCGACGGAATTTGTTCACAGAAAGGTGGCACTTTGAAATTTTCGGATATGAATGTTCTCACATTTCTTCGGCTAACGGATCCATTGCTTTGAATTCATTTGTTCAAATGTGTATTATGAATGTAATCCCTTCTTACACTTCAGAATGTTCTAAAACGGCCTTCAACACATTTCTCAGTATTCTCGATTTATAGAATTAGATCATTTAAAACACTTTTATTTTGGAACTGCTTATACTGAAAAAAAAGCAATCGCAACTCCAAAACCCTCTTTCATACTCACAATTAGTGATGATTTAGGCACATTTCGAAAAGGTTCAAGTTCATATATTTTTGAATACAGTAATCGTTAACATCGAGATAGCAGGAAATGAGGAAAGATCCTCAACTCTGAAATCGCACGGAGTATAAAAAAGATAATGAACGATTCATTATTCGCCGATTATTGAATTTTATATAATACATCAGGTGTGAGGAAAATTTCTTCAAAATTATAGAAAATAATAATTGCTTCAAAATTACAGAAAAGAAGAATTTCTGAAAATTACAGAAAGTTTTTCCGAAATTACAGGAATTAAAACTTTCTTCAAAATTGCAACCCTGTCCACGTAAAACACAATTTTGGTTTTTAAAAAATCTCACCTCTCAGCCGGGTAATTCCGGAAACAACATTTTCACTAGAACACGAGCCGCAAGACAAAATGCAAACACTGGGTTCCCAGGCTTGAACGAATGGCAGCCAGTCTTCAGCGTTCTTCAAACCATGAGTCTAAAAAAAAGTCCACCGTATTTATATGAAGGCATTTAATGATTTTTAATACTCTTACCGACGTGCTGTCAAAGTGAAGGATGACAGCTTCAACACTCTCGGCAAAATCTGCTCCAACGAGATTCTTCTCATGAGCTAAACACAGGTTTATGGTTGCTTCGTAGTATTTGTTACTCAGCAAATACGGAAACTTTTCCATGCAATCGTGAACGTCCGTTTTTATGGGTTCCGGTATTTTATCTTCTTCAAAAAAATCTGAGGATAAAAACCCCAGCACATCCGTCAATATTGCGTTGAAATACACGGCAAATGAGCTTACATCGCAGGAAATGTTTCGGGGAGTGATTCGGAGAGGCACTCATGAAAACCGCGTTCGGAGCTGACATTTTTCTCTGAAAACCTCAAGCCTCTCGCTGAAAAATAAAACGCATAAATTGACTCAATCAAGTCCCAAAACATAATTTTTCTGACACGAAAAAAGGAACGAACACCCGCGTGGCAACCAGACAAAATACTGCAATTCTCCCTCACGCTCCGTGACGGAAACAATGTATTGCTCACAGAAAGAACAATAAAATAAAAGGTCGTGATTCGTGAATAACCGGGACGGATTCGACATTACACATTAAGACACATCGCGTTCCTTGATTCCATCTGAGCTGAACAATTGCTGTAACATTTCTCCTATGCACATCTTGAGAGTGTCAGCTACTTCTTCAGCACTGTAAATGCCCAGCGGAGGCACATGCACGAAAGCCACTCGGGTTTTGTCGACACACATTGAGGTGAAGTAGGTGAACTCGCACAAGAATCTGGGGAAAAAAAAAAAAAAAACTCAGAATATCTTCCAACGACTTCTGAGATGAACACGCAGCAATAAGAAGTATGGCACTGTATCACGACTGTGTGCGATAAGAAAAAAAACCATTTTCAATGTGAAATAAAAAATCAGAAGCATTTCTTAATCCATGGAAAGAATTTTCTGATGATTAGGACCAAACACATTTTTTTTTATCTATAACGATAATTTCGCATACTTGAGAAAGCATCGTGAAATTTTCTCATGGTTTCCTTTCAAAGTCATAACATTGCTTGAAAGATTAATTAAATTTGAAAGATCGTTGAAGAGTAAATTTATTTGCAGCTTGTCATTGAAGTGCGTCGTGTTTGACGACTTATTTATACTGTACTTAAAATATACAGCTGAACCTTGTTAAATCGAAAACGTTCCCCCTCAAACCTATACAACTCGAATTTTCCAAAGGCTTTTCTGCAATTATCTCCGTGTCCCAGTGGAATGAGAAAAGCTATGAAAATGTAACTCTATGTTTTTTGAAAGAAAGTGAAAAAAAAATTTGGCAAATGAAGCTTGCCTCGAAGTTCAGCATAAGCCTCTTCACAAGGCAGTTTTGCGCCAAAAAGATCACTAATTTTAACTTAGTCTAATATTTTTATTTTCAAGATAAAATAACGGTAGTTTTCCCAACTCGAAAACACCCTATATCGAATTTTTTTCTGGTCCCTTGGAATTCGGTTCAAGGAAGTTCAAATGTACACTTGATAGCTTTCCGGTCCACCTTGTTCGAAGGAATTTTACGAAGGAAGTTACCAGGTTTTTTTTTCCCCATCGATTTTGAAGTACTGCATCTCAAAATCTACGGAATTTCATTACCATTCACTCAAATAAGATAAATACTCGGAGATTCGACGTCATTCGAGGATATCTATCTTTCTCGCTCACCTGCCGGCATTATGCGATTTCACCACCAAACACGAAGGAGCACTAGCGTTTACGTTCCTGCTGATAAGACCCAAATTCAGACCGGACTCGAAAATAGCATCCTCTTCAACATCCGG